TTGTCTGTACATATAGGAGGGATACAAGAGACTACAATACACACAGGACACCATGAAGGTCCTGGACTGTGTTAGAGTGGCAATCTGGAAACTACAGGAAAAAGGAGATTAAATGCACAAAAATGATGCTTTGTCAAATCAAACAACATATTATTTTATCTTATTAGAGATTTTTAAAAACATTTTAAGCCTTAATTAGAGATTCAACAGTAGAGTGATGACAGGAGATGAGGAGAAGGAACTCAGCAGCCACCCGAGTGTTTTCACTTCTTTTTATTTTTTATTATTTAGTCTTTTTAAAATGTGACATCAAAACATCACCAACAGAGCAAACTGCCGCATTTTGGGAAGTTGTTATTACTTTAATATTTATTATTATATTATTATTATATATTTTCTTACCTTAAGTTTTAGTTTAGTATACTCAGTACTTTGTTAGTGTTTTTTTCTCATTAATTTTGTACAGATGACACTATCACAGAGATATAGTGTTTGTGGTTTGGGGTTGTGGGAGAGTCCTTGTTCAAGTTCTTATCGATTGTTGTTTAACTTATTATCATTTAATTATCTATTTTTTGTTTCAATGTCTGTTACTTTTCATGTTTCACATGGGAATTTACATGGGCTTCACACATTACACCACAAAAATGTTCCAAAACCACGACATATACATGTGGTCACAAATGTTTTTTCTACAATGGTTGTTTCAGTTCGGACTGAAATGTGTCCATAACATCGAGTATCCATGATTGTCAAGTGCCAAGAAATCCTCAAAATGTCAAAAGTTTTCACCAGTCCAACCAAATGTTTTCATCCATCTTTCCTTCATCAGGTTTCCTCACATACAGTCAGTGATAATCGACTGTATATAAGGAAACCAGAAACATCCTCAGACACCAGCCTGAAGGTGAGATGGCTCAAACATTAGGTGAGTAAAGCAGACTGGTGAAGGACTGTGTGATGTGATTTAATTGGAATGAGCTTGAACGGAAGTGGGGCCCTCGCTGTGTGTTTGTTCTCAAAGAAATGTACCCATAATATACGCTTCTTCCATCAGAGAGCTCCTGATTTAGATTTGATTGAGGCTGAACTGCTTGTTTGAGAGTGTTAGATTAAAACACGGTTCTTGTTGCATTCATTTTATCTCTCTTTATACACTCTATGATATGGTGTCTGCACCAGAACAGACACAGAGGGCAACATAAAGTGGATTCTCAACAACCTTGTTAACAAGCTTTGATGAAAGCTTTGATGAAATGATGCTGTCTGATGAGCTCTCTCTGACCAGAACATCTCACTATCAACCCTCCTCTGATGTACTCAGACAGCACACTCTCCCTTCAGGACTGACAGATGATTATTTAGTATTTGATGTTACGTTAATAAGTCAGAAATTATTTTATCTGACTTTGAACATTACCAAAAAAACCTTTTCCAGACAAATCTTAAACATGAGGATATTTACTTTAGATGAAAGACAAAGTAAAATGTAGAGAAACATCTTTATCCTTCATTATCTTTATTTACTGTAATTCTGTTAGTCTTTAGGAGAGCTTCTTCTCTTGCACAAGCTTTTGTTTACTTTAACTCCATGTCTATTTGAGTGTATGCAGATAAAAGTGTAAATATGTGAATGTGTGCATATCTTTTTTATAGTGTAAAAAAATATTTCTCACTGTAAGGAATCATGACTTCGGATAAACTAGTACATTTTGAACAGCCCCCAGCTGTGTTATTCAGTGTTTAAGAGGTTTTGGTGCAAGCAGTGTTGAATACAACAACAGAAAATCACAATAACAGCGTCTACAAGAGGATAAAATGTGAGCTGACCTGGTTTAATAAGAAAGTAAGGCATTATCTGAGGAGTGTTTGATATGTGTACCTGCGGAGCGTGCTGAGCGCATCAGTCATGGTGTTGCAGCGCTTCAGGAGGGCGTCCAGGCGGTGCGGCTCTTCTTTCAGGAACTTAACAGCCTCCACCTCCACCCTCAGAACCACTCGCATCTTACTCTGCAGGCTGGGGAACTGGTCTGCACGGCAGGAGGGAGAGGAAGGGGTAAGGAAGAGTGGCGGAGGGGGGGTGATAGGCAGGGAAAGACAGGTGGATGAAGAGAGAAAGTCAGAGGGATGTGTTCAGATAATGATGTGTGTAAGAATGGAGGTGGAGAGGGAGGGAGGGAGGGAGAGGAGATTACAGGAAGGGAGGACAGGATGCTGTTTCTGTCGCAGCTATTTGAAGCCACTGGATTTTCCTGTCATATCCAAGAAGGAGGATTCGGTGGAGGTCGGTCAAATGAGAGAGAAGGGCATGCCGGACGTGCAGTGACAAAAACAAAGTCTGTGCTTGTCTGTGGGTGGATGTGTGTCCATTCGCTGCCAGAATGTGGACGCTCAGATGTCCTGAAAAATGTCCGCCTGCCACTCAAATGCTGAATCAAAGCACAGTGTTGCAATTGCAGGCGCTAGGTGGACATGCTAACTAGCAGCGGCCAGCGTACATGTTATTATAATGAGGCTCATTAATATTCAAGATGGAGAGTGGAAGTACACGGGTCAGTGCGGCAGGACAAGAGGTTAAACCTGAAATACCAATTAAAAGTCTGAGAAGATTCATAAATATTCATCTGTGACTTTGTAGAACATCTTTTTTTGGGGGGGGAAACATATCTCAGTGTTAATTATGCATCACATCCTATTTACATATACAGTGTACACATTTTATATTAACATCTACTTCAAAACTGTTTTAGTTCACAAGCATGATGGATAATCATCTCTGCTTGGTCTATATATCATATATATGTATATATATATATATAATATCAGACATTCTAGGTCCTATATAATCAAAGTCAGGTATTCCATGGGTTAAAGGTCGAATGGTAACTAACCAGTAATGTACAATATGTAGAAAAGGCTGATTAGTTTGTAGTTTTAGTGTTTTCATGGGATTTGTTGACAATAACACACAGAGAGAACAGCACCAGACTTATGCTTTAAAGGCAGAAACATGCTTTTGTATAATGAGGCTGCAGCAGCGGTGAAACAGCAGCGTGGGAAAGTGAGAGTTGAAAGCAGCTTCCCTGAAATCTGTTGCAATTTAAGGGTGAAAGCACCGAGATAGACGGTGAAAGCCACTAAGTGTCTGCGGCTCAGAGGGAAGTATATTGACTGCCGAACAAACTAGCAAAATGACTAAAGGAAACACCAGAAAAGTCCCGGTATTCACAGTAATCTCCAAACATACAAAGAAGGTCATAACAACACTTACTTTTGAGCTCAGTGAGCGTCTCTCCCAGCATCCTCAGCTCTTTGCTCTTCTGCTCCACATCCTGCTCGGTCACCAGGCCGTGGTTGACTGATGAGTTCCTCTGCAGCTCCTCCACCGACTTCTCCAGATCACTGTGGACGACCACATTCACATCACTCAATGCTACATGTGGTAAATAATGTCAGAGCTGTCTCCCTAATGCCACCATTCGGCCAATTAAACCTCGGGTGTCCCATCTGTTGTCCGATACCGATGTCCTGCACATTATGACCTAATTTCACAAAACGTTTATCAGGAAAATGTCAAGCTTTCTATTTGTCATATGTAGGACCAGAAATCATTTGACATTGTTCAGTTGCAGTCGTTTCCAGACTTTTTAAATTGGTGGTGGCACAAGAGGTGCACTGACTTATACAGCGGGTGGCATGAAGTATGTGTCTCAGCTTTCCATTTATTCCCAATTATTACAATTCCAACACTGTTTATGAATCCCAGTATGCACAACTATTCAAATAACACATTTATACCACATGCTTAAAACTGCATGAGATAGAATAAAGTGGACATGTCTGCAAAGGGGAGACTCGTGGGTACCCGTACAACACATTTTCATTCGAACATCTTGAGGTCACAGTTTATGGGATCCCTTTGAAAATCAATCATGAAAATCAATGAAGACCATGTCACTTTTTCCTTTGGAGCATTATTTGTCACCGATGGATGCGTTAGGTTCTCAGGTTTCATATGATACCAGTATCTTCACTAGCTTTAAAACGGAGCTCGCTACAGCTTCTGAAACACAGTGTGGAGTGAAAAAGGTAATGATAACAGGGTGGCCAATCAGATTTTTGGCCAGTGACACCCCTGAAATCTGATTGGCCGCCCCCCCTCTGATAACTCTCTAGTGACTATACCTAAATGTTGGTATCACAACAGTTCTTTCTGTTATCTTGTATCTCGATGAACCCACATTAAACAATGTCCAATGACTAACAGCTGAACAAGGACTTTCTCTACCTAAAATAGGTAAAAACTGGCAAATATTTGATTCAAATAAGAATCTGATCAGAGTGGACCAGACTTTCACAGTTTTGGTACTTTACAGTTTTTGATTTTTTTTTGATACTCAGCTCTCAGTGTGTGTGAGGTCATGCTGTCCCTGTGTGTTCCCTGACACCAGCGCAACCAAGAACCATTATTTATTGTGCTTGCTGCATAAATCAATCGTGCTCTGGACTCACTGCAGCTGCTGAATGAGCAGCTCCTCCTGGTTGAGGTACTTGAGTCTCTCCTCCTCCACCAGGAGGCGCTGTCTCTGGAGCGGGTCCTCCTGTGTGCGCATGGCATCCAGCATCATGAGGCTCAGCTCCGACTCCGTCTGCCTCAGCAGAGACAAGACTGAGTCCTGGTTCTCCAGCTGGGACACCAAGACACATGGTTAATTTTATTGACCCATCACGTCCATTTTAAGCCTTATTTCCACTGCATGATACCGCTCGACTCCAAAATTAAAGGACTCTTAATGAGTGAATCAGCCAAAGAAGCAACTGTAACTCGAAAACAACGAACCTAAGAAAGGCCCAGATCTCAGTCCACCTTTGCCTGATGAAGGACAAGCAGTCTTCCGAAACTTTGCAACAAAGGCAGGAGTTGTAATTTAAGTCAGATTTTTGGAAACACTCTAATCTTAACCGGGACAGAGCTTTTTTGTACATAGCTCCAATCCTTTTCAGGCAGGAGTCATGTTTGTCTTTTCTGGATTTATGTTGGGTCGTGAGAGCACAGTTCTTTTTCGGGGGAGGGAGGCCCCATTTTGGATCAGGGCTGTAGCTGGAGGCAGTTGTCCCACTTCTGGGCTCAGCGTCGGTTTCATGGACTGTGCCTATTCCAGTTCTGGTGCCTTCTCCCAACCCCTTACCATCCCCCATTCATTTCTAAATAACCAAGCTACCATGAATAGCGAATGCAAAACCGTGCCGTGGTCAATTGAAAAAGCGCAGACGTATCAGGAACACCTTCGCTTCAGATTCTCTGCCGTAAGAGTAACAGCTCATTTTCGTTAGATAGTGTGTGGATGAGTGAAAGAGAGAGTGTCTCGTTTCTCCTGCAAGTGTTCATTTTAAACTTTTGTTGTGCTAAACAGTGTTCTGGGGACCTTCTATTATTCTAGAAAACCAGTCATGACTTTAAATACTAACTTTTTGCTGGGCAGCTTTTTTGGACACCATCTGCTCCCTTGGCCCTTGATGCCTCGCCTCGGGGGGCCAACAGCCTGTTGACAGTTTTTTTTTTTTTTTTTTTTTTTTTTGGGTTTCCCGGCCCTTTGCAGATGCATCTCCACTGTACAAGGGGCCTGCAGGCAGAAACCAACGGCACTGGTCCGCAATACAACTGTCGCAGGCTACGCAACATGCACGGTGTGTGTATCGAGTTTTTTAGTTCTGCCGTAGATAAAAACTTGATACCAGTCTAACACGACGACTCCGCAATCACAATCCCTCTTCTTATGAAGGTTAAATGCTTATAAGAGGTTTTTATTTAACTTTTGAAAGACTTTTTTGTTGCAGGTCTGAAAGTGTGTTCTTAATATTTCCTACCATGGTACTGGCTCGGGACTCTTACTCCGCCTTTGGTGTCCCTTCCTCTCTTCATTTTCACTTGGTAGACTTAGTACTTTTGATTATGTGGTGCCCCCTGCAACATAACAGTTCGGGGAACACCAGGAACGTTCACATTCATTCAATTCATTCAATTTATTTGTATTTGAGCGCGAACTTCATAACGGTAGCTTATCTTCAGGGACGACTTTTTCAAATTAGAGCAGGTCTAGACCGAGACTTCCTTATAAACATTTACCAGGCCAGCAGTTATCCCAACCATGAGCAGCACTTGGCTGACAGGGGCAAGGCAAACTGCCTTTCTTAACGGCGAAACCTCCTCCCGGGACGATCCTTCGGCTGCTAGTGTGGGTTGGTCATCTCCCTTGACCAGTTGGGGGAAGAGAGGAGAGAGAGAACAGAGGGAGATGGAGATCATGGAGAGACAGATCAGGATGTACAGCACTAAGCGTATGCACACTACCATTAATAGTCATGAATTCGATGACGATCATTGACTGAGCTTTCTTTCAGTTCTCTTGAGTAAGCGACAAGGGCACACAAATTTCAACCTGCGGCACTGTTACTTTACTGCAAACATCTCAACTCTTCACTTCTCTCTTTTTCCTCTGGCACTGTCCGTATTTCACC